ATATATATATATATATATATATATATATTGGCCAAACTACATTATTCAGCCTGTTTATTTGCTGGTTTAGTTGATGTTCTGCTGGACTGTCTCTTAGCCTGGATACATGAGGCTCAAATTCTTCTTCAAAAAAAGCTACCAATTTCTCCTTTCCTCCTTGTTGGGCTGAAATGGTTAAACTCATTAGGCTAAACTAATTTCTCTGAAAGCTAGTTATTTTCTCTGGGACAGAAACTGCCGGAAGCTATTGCAAAGAAGGGTTTTATGACTTTTAGCCTGTAATATTGTTATTTCTCCTCTTTTCCTAGGAGGTGAGAGCCTCTGGGAAGGTTGCTGTGAAAGGAGATCAAGGAGAGAAGGTGAGTGGCGTGAGGAAAGATTTAACGGACCCTCAGATAGTCATATGAATTTTATTTATTCATTTATTGCAGTTTCTATGCTATTCCATTCAAACAGGACTCTGAGCAGCTTACATTCTTCAGTACAAGAAAATTAAAATAATAATCAATACAGCAAAAAGAAACAAGAGCCCCAATGCCCGGGGAGCAACCATCAGCGTACACAAATCAATACAGTATCAGGAGAGTTTCCCCTCGTAACAGTTCTGCTTCCAAGGTTTTCTGGAATAGCCAGGTTTAAATGACTTGCTGAACAATCAATAGGGTGGGAGTCAGTCTAATTTTTTTGGGGGGGATGCTGCTCCAGAGAAGGGGCTTCATGACTGAGAAGGCTTGTCCCCATGGTCCCTGAAGATGACATTCCTTAAGAGGATGGAGAGAGATCACCTTTCCCAATCATACTGGGTGGGCAGAAGCCACTGGCAGAAAGTGGTTCCCTAGATATCCAGGTCCCAAGCCATGACTTTGGAAAGAGAGTTGGTATCTTCTGGTAGCTTAAAAACAGATCTCCAAGCAAGGAGATGTCCTACTCATTGAACCCTCCTGGTGGTCTCAGTCCAGCTGTTCTCTCTTGGCCATTTGGCAATAGCAACACTGCCCTGTCTCAGAGGATTGTCGCATCTCGTATGTACCTGACTTTCTGGTACTATCCGTATGGCATGATGAACTGGGCAGCGTGTTTTGTGAACACTAAACACAGTTGGGAGGAAGACAGGGTTCTAATTCTCTCTGGTCAACTGGGCACATGAAGGTTGACAGAGGGTGTTAACCCTTCCAAGTCCACCCTGGCTCCTGAAATAGAGACAAAATCCTTGAATGGCTCTGGAAGAAGGAGGTGGCTCTCATACAACATTTCTACATTCTTTCTGTTTCCTCCCCATGGCTCCCAAGTTATTTTCTCCGCGTCTTTCTCTTGTGTAAAGAGAGAAACAGAGAGCACCAGTGTGGTGTAGTGCTGAAGGTGAGGAGACCCAAGTTCTAATCCCTGTTCAATCACAGAAGCTCCTGGGGAGGGGGTGGTTGGCCACTTCCAGTCCAGGTGCCAGGGCAGTCCAGTGTTGAAGATGCTGGACTACAAATGGGGAGACCGAGGTTCTAGTCTTCTCTTAGGCGGATAATAAATATTGTACATATCCCTCTCATTAGGGTCCCAGTCGTGGGAATGGAGGGAGTGTAGATTCAGCAGAACGAATCATTTCCAGGCTCTCTCCACCCGCTCTAAGCCATGTCTCAACCCTTCCAGCTGTGAAAATCCTGCTGGGGAGAGAAAGTCACCCACACGGCTTTCCTATAGGAATGACTATCAGTAGAGATGCCTCCACCCCAACCTAACCTTATCTAACTGCAGATGGCACCGGGGGCGGGGGGGGGGGGGGGTGCTACTGATATGATTACTAAGACTTTTTCCTATTACTAGGAGACCAAGGGGATTATAGTTAAATCAGGGACACTGAACCATAGCTTAATAACATGACTTCCAAATTACACTTGGCATTATTTATTTATGGTCCCAGACCAATAACAATAATAATTAAAAAAAATACACCTTATTTCTGAATCCCAATCCTTCCTATGCCCTGACACTAAGATTGAGAAAGCCCCTTTGTACCAAGCAGACTGAGATTTTAGTTCATCTTCCTTTGTTTTATATACATTTATTGTTTTTTAGCTGGGTTGTCCGGCGCCCAGAGTCACTTGTCTGTGAGACGGGCGGCCATATAAATTTAACGAATGAATGAATGAATGAATGAATGAATGAATGAATGAATGAATGAATGAATGAATAAATAAAAGGAGGCCTGAACGTGTAAAACCGTCCCACTTTGGAAAGCAGTTCAGTTTCTTGAGGAAAATCTGTATGGATTGGTGGAGGGCTATAAATATTGTGAAATTGAAAAAAATAAAATAAAATGTCCTTTTCCCCATCTCCGGCTGGTTTCAACCCTGCACCAGCCCTGCAGGGGCCTGGAATCAAAAAGCTCCTTGTCCATAATGGCAGCTTTCTTTGAAAACTTTGCAGACGCTAATCCTTTCCTGGCGAGCTCCCAACATGCCATTTCTTTGTAGGCTTTTTTCTATCTTCCATGCACCAGTGCTCCCCATTGCCTGAAAGGAAGCAAGCAGCACCTCCCCTGCCCTGCTGGGGCTCTTATGCGCAGTTCAGAATGATCAACCTCATAAGTGTTAATGCACTATTCATGTGCAACTGCCTATTCTGAACATTATGGGGGCTGCAGCAGCTGCCAACGTGGATATTGTCATTTGTTTGAACTCAACTTTTCTGCTGAATCCACGGCTCTAGGTCCTGCCTGGAGATACCCATACAATTCTCTGAAGCCACATTCTGTTAAGTTCATCACAGTTCATCTCAAAGGAGAAGGGAGCTTTACAGGGAGAAATCTTCTCCTGCTCACACTAAAATAGGATGGCAAGAAGAATTTCCAGCTCTGTTAATTGTAATAAACTCATATGGTTCTGTAATGCTCAGTACGGCAATATTAGATTCTTTCCTTTGCATGCCTTTTTAGTAGAAAGCAAGAGATATCAGAAGACATCAGTCATGGCTACCTACCCGTGCTACAATGGAGTCTATTTTGGTAGATTGTGAGTTCTGTTCCCATGAAAATCTCTGGCCATTTTCTTTTACTACTTGGCTGTCCTACAAAATGAATTCTCATTTACATGGGAGTGGGCCAAATGAGATTCTAACATGGAGTGACTTTTCCAGGGCCCAGATTACAACAAGAACTCTTCTCCTGGCTTTATAAAATGATCTCAGATCTCAGGGTGGCGTACAACAATTGAATAAAACAGCAAATAGGTTAAAAAAAAGCAATCATTATAAAAGGATAAAAAGTAATTATTCAAAGAAGAAGAATATAAAAAAAAATTATAATATACAACCTCACAGAGAGATCAAGAATATTAGTCCTAGTGGAGCCATCTCAGAATGCCTCCAGTTCCCAAAGACCCCAGGCCTGATGACATAAGGTCATCAGATGTTGATGAGGTAGTTGTGGGGATTGTGTGAAGATCCTGTCTTTTAGTGTATGACCCAGTAGCGGTGTGCAGCCTCTCTGACATCCCCCATATCCATTTCAACCCAGAGAGGTTCAAACCCATGAGGCTTTTTCAAGGGTGGACAGCCAGGGAAGATGCAGAGGGATGGAAAGAATATTTCAAAGCACAGGAAGAATACAAGATAAACCCAGGAGCCTCCTTCATATGGGAAGAAAATGTAAGGAAATTAGTAGAGAGATTTTAGCATGCTTCTACAGTATTCTCGTTAGTTGCAGCCACATATCCTTTGAAGCATTCAGTGTTATCTCCATACGATGCCCCAGCTTGAAATCCAATTGAAATAAGTCTATGGCAATGTTTGAAGTGTGAGTAAAAAAGCAAACAAAAATTGTTCCCAGTTGCACCAGTTAATTGAATTGCCACTATAACTCAGGTCATCCACAAAATAATCTGATTATTCCCTCCTACCCACCCATCCACCCTTTGGCTTTGCAAACTGTGAATAAGGTGGCAAAACCAAGGGTTTTGCTCAGTCCTAAACCAAAAGTACTCCAGATTCTCTGAAGAACCAAATTTCCCCAAAGGAGGGGA